AAATGTTCTATTAAATGGTAATTTTAGTTAATACACATAATAGGTAAAGGTATTTTAGAGAATGAAACATTTATTTATTATAAGTAACTAGCTTGACAAGCTTTTTTAATTTACTCAAATTAGTTAATTAGCTCTTATACTACCTCCAGTCCTATTTATAAGATATCGTTTGTAAATTACAAACAAGTTCTTATATTTAAGACTGGAGGTTGTATTAAAGACTAGATGTAGTATTTTGTAATAAGAAAAGCCAACTTAACCATGAATTTGTTTCTTATTAATTAAAAACGACATTTTGATTTTGTCAGGGAAAGAACGTTTTTTAACTTAATCATTTTATGAATAAAATTATTTGCAATAGTACTTGCACATCAATTTATTACATATAAAAACATGAAACAGGACTGAATAATAAAAAATACAATTTTATGAAAACTAAGCTTTGAAGTATTTTATCTCTAGGAAGTTAAATTAATAAAATAATTCATCTTTATTTGGAAGGAAAAAAAAAACACTTATGAGCAACCTGCAGCTGCCGGTGTGCTAGGATCCCAACCTCCATTTGGGCGGGTGTCTTGATCAAACCGTTCAAATGAGGATGTGCCCTCAAATCATCATATCTGCATTTCTGCATTACAAGTTTACCCTAATTTCCCAGCATTTCAAGGTTCGGTTGGTTCTAACTCAATTTATTTACGTTGCCGTTAATTCGTTCTCATTTCGCTCAACTATGATATTATCAAATATCTTAAATCTGTGAAGAAAGAGCTTATATATAATACTACCATCCGGTCCTAATATAAAAGCTAGTACTTTAGTTAAACTAATTCGAGAAAATTAAAGAAATAAGTTAAGTTAGTTATTTGTAATAAATAGGTATTTTTCTAAAATATCCTTACTAATCAAGTGTGTTGGCTAAAACTACAATTATTAGAAGAACTATCTCGGAAAAAATTATATAAATATGAGAGACAAAGTGAATTTAGATCTTATATTTAGTATCAAAATAAAAATCGAAATCTCATATTAAGTAGCGGAAGTAGTATTGGGAAAGGAAATAGAACTATTATATGACTTCACCAACTCACTTAACAGCTTACATCTTTTGATTAGTCCGACACTAAAAAATCTATGTTGTCATCAATGACGCTTGTATCTCACTCAACACTTTCTGAAACAGACACACCGCCAAACGCATCAGAATCATCACGCCAATGTTTATTCAGCTTCCTGTGATACCATGTTATGCACTATCATTATCAGTGCTGAAATTCTCCAATTGTGAACAGACATTGTTCATAGCCATTGAAGCCATTGGAGTGCTGGTTGGTGCATTATCGGCACTTTTGCCACATTTCATTTACGCAAAGCTGGAATACGATTTTAGTCCAACTGACTTCTATCATAATTTCAGTTTGCAACCACTTGGCAGCTCACGGTTTGCATTTTTCATAATTCCTTGCTTAATAGGCCTATATAATCTGAGACTTTTTCCAGAGGGAAACTGCTAATGAGCCTTCATTGATCAGAAGTTGTACATTCCTAAAGTCTATTTCAGAGCACAAAGCAATAACAGTTACTAGATGTTGGTGTGATACCACAGAGGGATTTTGTGCTTGATCTCAATCAAAAGCGAATGAAATAAATTAGACAAAGTTGACATACATGTCTTAGCATCTGATTCTCGTTCTGCAAAGTGGATAGTCTCTCTTCCAGCTCTGTATTCTTCTTCTCCACGTCTTTAACTCTTGTTTCCAAATCATTCAAGTATGCCTTCTTCCTCTCTCTTGCCTGCTGAGCCGAAACTCTGTTCCTCAGTAACCTTCTCCGTTTTCACACCACCGAATCAATGAGATTGCAAATTCAATTGAATTCACGGACAAGGCAGCACAATGAGATTACGTACCTTTTGATGCGCTTGGTTTCTTTGTCAGCAGCGCTTCTGCTGCCTCTTTCTCTGACTCTCTCCTCCCCTGAACCACTCCTCCAGAGGTGTCCCGCCGGGAAGCTGAAGTTCCAGATTCACCGCCCAGCTCCGGCACCCTTCTGATCTCCTCATCGCTCTCCGGTCCTGGGCCACCGGGGGGAACTTAAGTGAATAATCTGTGCCACTCAACACAACCATACTCTATTTGTGTAACAAATTAAGAATGATGTAACGGGAGGCTGGCGCTGGTTTGTGGAATTTATGTGAAAGATAGATTTCCTAGAGAACAGAGAAACCCACGGACAAAAAATGCGAAATAAAGCAAATCCCAGAAATAGAGAAGATTAGGTAGCTTTATCTTCTATGATTAGTTTCAACGGGATTCCGAACACTGCCCACCGCCTCTGTACCGTTACATTACACTTGACTAAAAATCTTGTGAAAAATGTGGAATTGATGAAAACATTATCCGCGATTAGAGTAAAAGACATTGGGAGAAGAATCTGACCTTCTTTCACTTCGAGGTGCAGAGCAGAGCTGGAAGATCTTTCACTGCTCGAAGGCAGAGAGCTTGCGGCGGCCTGGCCCGTCTCCTGCATTTTGGCCAACAAAATAAAACAACGGAAGAACAGAGGAGAGTTTCTACGTGTTTACGATGACCAATGCAGAAAATGAGCGGGATGAAAGGAGGTAGGAGAATAGATGAGAGAAGGGAGCGTGAAGTGTTTGAAGATCTGAGGGTAGGCAAAGGAGAAGCGTGGGTGAATGTGAGCCATGAGGGATAAACATAATCGAGGGCTGGCAATAAGGAATCGTGGGATAATGTGGAGAGTTGGATACATGGGTTCTAGATGGAAAGAATGGAAATTAAGATTGGGATAAGGGAACAATGAATCGGGACCAGCACATTGACAACGATGTCTGGGTAATATGTCTCTTCTCTTCCTCATGTGAAACATCGAGAAACTACCATAGTAGAACGGGGGAGTGGGAATGATGAACAGGCCTAATGCTTCCTCAATCATTCGACTATATAGGAAACTTGGGAAGGATTTGAAGAGCTGAACATGAAAGCTGGGGCTCTCAATTTTGCACTCGTTAGCTCAGCTTCCCTTGTCTGAGTTTAGTAAAGTAACTTCAGCATCTTTTGCTGAGAAATAATTGCAAATCATAATCTGCATGACCTGTTTGATTGCGTCTCTTGGGCCTCTCTGGCAAATGGCTTCCTTCTGTTCCTGATATCTTAAATAGCATGTGGACAACAAATTCTAGTCAAAATAAATTATATTTCCAAATGAAAAAAAAAAAAAAAAGGCACGGACAAACTATCCTAGTATTGTAGTACTTTGTAAACTAAGATATTAGTTGATAATTGAATGTGCAAGGTCCTTTTCTCTCTTCAGTTATGGAAGTCGACTTCTTGCTTTTATATCATACATTATTCAGATGGCAAGGAATCAATAGTATGGCCTAATAATACAGCACGCATGTTTTGTTTGCTTGCTTTATTTATTTTTTATTTTGGGGTGGAGGGTTGTTGTGGTAGGAGGAAATGCTTGACATGAGGGGAGGGGAGGGCCAAGAGGGCCCCTTTCTCATGAATATTCTGAATCGGTTTCTGGACGCAAGCCCAGACGGGGTTCATGCGAAGCAGCGTCTCTTTCTTAAAATTCCCCAAACATCTCTTATCTCCCCCTTCGATCCTTTCGTTTATCGGAGATGGGCCGTGATTTTTCCCTCCCCCACTTTTTCATTTATCTTTAACATATTTATGTTTAAAAGGCCTACCAATAGGATGAACCCCATAGCTTCTCAAAGGCAATTCGGGAGTTTCATGATTGCCACCCACTTTTCTTTTCTTTTTTTTTGTCTACCCAGTTCACCGAACTTTACTCCGATACATCTAGATCTGACCCGCGTCGCATACCTGGCTGTGGTGAGTGAGTCTCCTAACGGAGATTTCTGTATACGTTAAGGTTCGAACTCGATACCTCGCTTAAGGGTGTGTTTGGTTGGAAGGGAGGGGAGGGGAGGGGAAATGAACCCCTCCCCTCATTTGGTTAAAAATTTTGGAGGGGAGGGGAGCTAAAATGTCCCCTCCTCTCCCCTCCATCCCCCCATTTTGGCTCCCCTCCAAATTGGGGGTTTTTGGAGGGGAGCCAAAATTTTGGACCATTATGCCCTTATGGCTTTTTTAATATTCCACTTCTACCCATAAAATATATTATTAAATATTTATTTCAAATAAAAAATATTATCTTAAGTAAAAAAAATAAAAAAATATATACATATTATAATTAAAAATATATTATAAAAAATATTTAAAATAAAAAATATTTAAATAAAAATTATAATATTATAAAATTAATTGTTTTTTTAAATATATTATTTATTGAATATATTTTAAAGCTGGAAAAAAGATAGCCTAAAGAAAAAATTTCATTTTTCTTATAGCATATAAAATTTGTTAATTTGATTATTTTAAATATATTATTATATTAATTAGAATAAAATTACTATACCAATTTTTTAATACACATATTAACATGATTAGACTGAATTTTTATTAAATTATATAATTAATTTATTTAAATATTATTAATAATTTTCCCAACATATCCTTATCTCTTCTCTCTGTATAATGATTTTCCATCCCATCTCTCTAAATGGATTAAGCCAAGCAATTGGAAAGTTGTTAAAACTTTTCAACATTTAATTAATTTTAACTAATTTTTTTTACAAAAGTAGTTAGTAAGATTTTATGAAAGATGGATCCAATAAACTTCAAATCACGTTAGATAGAATATACCCACCTCACCACCTACATTCTAGAGTCGGGAACCTTTCCCCGGCATTAAATTGTACGTTAGGCCCATGCTACCTTCGGCCCAACCCATTCCTTCCGGCCCATATCATAAGCTCCTGAACCAGCCCATACCAGTTGCCATCATTCATGATCACCATGACCACCCCACCAAAACTAAAGAAATAGAAAAGAATAGACTCCCTTCTTGTACCAAAAGAAAAAGGGACTTCATTCCTCATCCATGTATCACCTTTCCACAACCCAATCTTCACTTCAAGAACCATCCATTCCCCTTCTAATTTCTCTTACGATTCTTTCATTACATAAAAACATATATTTCAACAGAACTTGAGCACTGTTCTATAGATTCTAAGGCAAATTAAGCCGTATATAACTAATTTAATAAATGCACCTTTCCAAAAATTTTATGAATTTTATATTAAAGATAAAAATGTAGATAACATAAACAACATGCTTCAGCGAGCTTCCGCACCAGAGCGCCGGTATGGAAAACGATCTTCGGGAACACCATCCTCTGCACGTTTATCTTCAAACCATTTAACAACTCTCCTCCGAGGAAGGTTGGTCACATGCACGATGCTACTGATCATTGCATTCTGCATGGTAATTCAATGCAGTCAGCACGCATGTGTTAGATGTTTCTGCTAATAACGTTCAAAAGAGAATTGATCTAAGAAGTGTCCAATGGAGTTCCAGCACCCCCCCCCCCAAAAGAAAAAAGAAGAAAGAAAAGAAGAGAATAAAGAGAGAGAGAGAGAGAGGGAAATAGAAGAGAAAAATGGAGCAAGTCATTAAGTAATACGTCAGTGGACAATTTAACAGTTATTATGCATGCTGTTTTATCAAGCAACTAGCGTTACAGATGCACGAGAAACTTTACTTACAGTGGGCCGCTTTGTTCTCCTGTAAATTCTTTCCAGAGTGTCAACATGTACCCTTTTCAATCTCTTCTGAGCAGACCATCTACGTTGCATAACATGAACAGGTACATTAGACTTTGCCTCGGGATCTTCATGATCTGTGCGTATTTCTTCAAGAACAGTCTCTGAGGGTTTAGCTTCAGATTCTACTGTTGGTGCTGTCGGCTCATCAGGTAATGACAGACTCATCATTAAAAGATTTGGAGGAGGGTCACGAAGTAACTCAAGAACAATAGCCCTATCAAGACAAAGCTCGGCAGCCAGACTTTTGATCTGTAAAATGAGATTAATTTTGAGAACAGAGCGCAGAAGGTTAAGATTAGTACCACCGTGTCATAAGGCATGCATGTAAAGTAAACATCTCAATAGAGAGGGTTTCCTTCTCGTTTCTGTATCATCTGAAACGATAACTAACACTTTCGAATTCACAACCCTATAAAGCAAAATATGCCTCAATTAATTAGATATCCTACTCAATCATTGTACGTGAATTACCTCTAATCGTGATTCAAGAGCAAGCTGAAGCCAGAAGCCTAACCAAGTGGCTACATTTATCTTTTTTCATCTAATCAATAAAATTTTATCAGTCTGGCCCCGGTTGTAAGAATACCTTTGTTTACAAGTTACAATGGAAAGGAACACTTAAAACGGAGAAAGTCCGGAAGATGATTCATAATATTTACTAATAATAATGTTGTTAATGGATGAATAAATGGCTCCCATATTTCCAGACAAATTTCAGTGTCACAAAATTTCAAAAAACAATGATTATAGGCACTTGAAGCTGAACAGATAACAGGACCACCCGACTATTAGAACAATGAGCGCAAGATGATCCCAGAATTCTTTCAATTATTCAACCAACGCAAGGCAAAATATAATTGGAACATTGAAAAGGACCACACAACTGAGACAATAAAATGTGCTACAGAACTCCAAAAGGCTGTAAAAATCATCAACTGGTTCATGCTAAGAACTCATAAATTAAATAAACAAGACACTTACACTAGTTTTGCGACGACCAGCTTTTAGTGCTTTAGCTAATTTCCTTAGTTGCCAGCTTCGAAGGTTCACTTGCCCCCCATCTCGTTCGAAATCATCATCATCTTCTTCTTCTTTTTCTTCATTAGTAGCATCACCGTCAGTTTCTGTATCGTTTAAGACAGAATTTAACATTTCTCTGCATCATCTGCCCCCAACGCATCCTCTAACTCTCGCGTTCTAACATGACAAGGTCTTCCTCGGTTATTTCATCATCATTATCATTGAAGGACATATCATCATTTTGAGATCTTCTTCCAGCTGCTTGAAAAGAAGCTCAAAAGCGTCCTCTCTTCCTCATCCTCCACTTTAACATGGTTTTGAGACAAATTCTGCTGAAAAACAGGATGCAATATATCAATAATGTAAATAAACTTATTTGTTCTTTTCTTTTCCGGTTCCAACTATCACTGTGAATGATAAATTCAGTTCACTAAGCAGTAGTAATGTTCAATGAACACCTACAGTCCAGCGAGATAGGCATATCATAAACCACTCAAAATATGAAATATTCACTAGGCATTAAGTTGCTCGCGAACTGATTGCCCAATTCCAAGACTACGATTTAATCATTCAACTAAATTCGTCCGTGCAAACAAGAACTATTAGCAGCCTGCAGGCTGCAAAGTTGAAGCTCAAACATTGATAAATCAGAAATTGAAGCATAACAGCGAAAGAGAAAAATAAATAAATCTCCTATTTTTAATTTTTGAACTCGACAGAAATAAAATACTGTTGAGGACTGATCAGAATCTAAAATTTTCAATATCTTAGGAGGAAAACCTAGAGGGAGCAGCTAAATATGTAAAACATAAAACTTTCTTTTAATGCTAGAACGCCCAGTCTCCTGTTCTTGCTTAAGATCTTTCTAGGCAAACAAAACCTATTCACCCATCCCAAAAATTACAGAGGCGAATGGTTTACCTTCTTTTTCTTTTTGCGAGAAGAAGATGCAGCCACAATAGCAGAGCTGAGGTCTCGACCGCGGGGGTACACGAGGACGGGGAAGGATAAAGGCCTATGTAACAAAGACAGACTACCTACAATGAAACGTTCACTTCGAGCGGATGGGAAACAATGAACGGCCATGGACTTTGTGCACACTGGCGAAGAAAACGCAAAAGCCATCGTTTCTTCGGGCTTACCTCCCAGAGAGGACCCCCTTCGAATCGTTTTCCAGTTCCAAGTTTGCCATACAGTTCTCTTCCTTTTAACTCTTTATGATTTATGATTCAGGAAGAACGACAAAAAAAAGAAACCGTAAATTTGTAAATTTCAAATAAAAAATATTAATAAAAATATATTACTCTTCCGGTATTAAATATAAAAAAATCATAAATAAAAACTCCCAAATCATCAAAATTACATAGAAGCCACCTAAATAAGTAAATATTATGAAGGATCCAATCTCATATTACAAATATAAAATCTTAGTAAAATATCTGACATGTCCCTTAGCCAAATGACAAGTTGACTATACTGGAATGATAAGTTCAATTTAACAAATGATAAATTCAGTAAACCAAATCACAACTTGGTTGAAAGTATGGGAAATAACAAATTTATTTTACTGAATAACAACTTCACTAGGCCAAATCACAACTTGGATGAAAGGGCATTTCAGATATTTCGTCAAGATTTCATATTTGTAATATGGGACTGGGTCCTTCATGGTAATTTTACTTATTCAGGTGATCTCTGTGTAATTTTGGTAATTTGGGGGTTTTTATTTATCATTTTCTCAATATAAAATTTATTTTGTAGTACAAATTATATTATAAAATAAAAATTAGAAGAATATCATTATAAATCAAACTTGATTTGAGATTTAGTAATTAAATTTTTTTTTTTGTCATTCTCCCTATGATTTATCCTTAATTTCTCTCCTATTATATATCTTCCCAGTCTTGACAGCTTCCCGTGATTTTATCCGGCCATGTTCCACTGTGATTTCCTCATAGTCATCATAATTCATATATTAACTCTTTTTCCCTTCTTTATCGAACCATTTTAAACATTGACTTCCTTAAAACACGAGGGGTGATACTTACTATTCAGCAGCACATTTTCCATCCTCTTCTAATCTCGTCAATTTAATTAATCATATTTGCAATTGTGATTATTTCTTTTCCCATTTTTAAAAATTCAGACATTTATTGGTTAAAAAAAATTCAGATATTTAGTTCTGATTATTCTGCCATAGATATTTCTCTTCTCCACTCCGACCACTGTTTATAATACAATATCTCCATTCATCGATCTTTTCCCCTCTTTTTTTCTTTCCTTTTTTGGTTCCAGACAACCAGTTCAAACTGTGATATCCTCGTAACATTGACACTATGACGGGATATTTTTGCACATTTTCCTTCTTATCTTGCACGTTTGATTCTGCACAATTTCAAATAGAGATCATGGGTCATGGAGTTAGGAAGTTGCAGATTTTAATAATCATGGCAAAGCGAATGAGACGACGTTGTAACTTGCGAATAGACCTGTATTGGTTATTCCATGTAACGGTCTGCTCTATCTGCTTTTCATCACTGAGTATCAGATTTCATTCTTGACTGTACTTTGGGGGGTTTTTCCCAAAGGCGAAAAAGAAACTGACCATAGGACCATGCGCAGAACTTGTAAAGAAAAATATCTTTCTCCACTTGGTGCAAGACAAGCTGGTCAAGCTAGCGTTTTATCTTGAGGTCCCGGGTCATATCAGTTGACCATCCCTTCAATAATCTTGAGATTCCTCATAACTCAACAGAGGAATCTGGCTACTGACGAGACATGCCACCTCAATAATGCTTACACGGTCACTTCTTGATTGATTGTCATCTAACGGAATAGCCCCAGAGATGTGAAATTACAGGTTCAGAATCAAAATCCTGAAAACAGATCTATCAGATAGCCAGAGGGTGACATACAGCTACAGAATTCTCTGTAAAATTATCTGTTATGCTCATCTTTGGGAGACTTTTCATCATTTTCATACAGTTGTCTCCCATACCAAGTTCAAAATCTGCTTCTAAATTTCGTGGGATCGTGGTTGGACTTGTTCAACATCACCATTCATTATGGATACCTTTGATGAATTACATATATGTTCATCAAGTAAAGTATTGGATGCATACCAGCTGACGTGTTTAGCTATTCATTAGGCCATCGTTTGATCCGTCCTTCGTTAATTCTGGGGCTGCAGGATCAAGATTTGCAAATGACACAAACCAAACGGAGGATCAAAGGACGTGGTAAAATGCATTATATTCATATACAGTTGGTGTTTTGTGATCTTCAAGTCTACCAGTGCAGTGCATGGAAGACTAGGCATCATGATCATTTTCGTTTTTTCTTAATTAATTTATTGTGCATACTCTTCTGATATCCAAGTGTTGCCCAGTATAAATATATAAAGGCCATTTCTTTCTGGATTTCTATCTGGGGCATATAACATATATATGCGCAAAAAGCGAGGGTCTGGCTAACAGCAACCCGAGAGGTCTAAATGACTGAGATTTTGCACAGCGGAGACGGAACTTTGGATTCCCTTTCCAAAATGACTCTGTGAAATCTCTTATCCTTGGCAATTCTGAGCGAAACATCAGGCCGTTACAATATCCGCAGCCATTGAAAAAAGCCTCCGTATAGGAGGATCACAGTGGGACAGATCATATCCTCTTAGGGACTGTGATATCAGAAAAGTTTGAACGGACATCTGTTATTTTATTTTGAACCATTTAGTCTTAATAGCGTGGTTATGTACGACTAAACAAATATTTAATGATGTGGCCCTGTGAGTCCTCATTCAGTGCTCATCAAAGCCAAGTATCATTACCATCTGCTAATTATTGTAATGCAATTTAAATCATCCAAAATCTAATATGAATAATTTAAATTTAAAATTTTTAATATACAATTTTTTCAATGGTAAAATTATTTTTTAACAAAGTGTTGGTTATAAGATTCTATTTATTTTAAATTTTGTATCTATTAAAACAAAAAATTAATTAAAATATATAAAAAAAATTTATATTCAATTTGAACCTTCCAAATCAATTTGGATGATCCAAATTGCAATAAACACTCTATGCTCATTATTTAATGAGCATGAAATGTGCTTTTGTGGCCTTGAGACGTACTGATCATGAATACTTTGCGCCCAAGATGCACCAGGAAGGGACATATATAAATTATATATGTAAAAAAAAAAAGAAGATCTTTTGACATTTGTGTGTGTGTGCTTGTTTGTTTTGCATTGTATTTGATTTTAATGCTATAATATTGTTGGAACCTTTGAGTAATCAGATTTTAATTTAAATCACAAATTAATGCTTATAATAGTCTTAAAGGGACTATATGTAAAATCTATGTATCGGTAAATAGAACATGCATGCATGTTCCCAGAACTAAAATTTCAAGTTATATTAAGTTTTATGTGATTAATTATTTTAATTATTACAGAATGGCCATGTGATAGCAAAATGGACTGTAAAGAGCAAAGGGCGTGGAATTAGACAATTTAGTTGTCAACAAACCAGAAGGAAAGGAAGGCAAGTTCCAGACAAAACAAGAAATGCATCTTTTCATAATGTAACTTTTGTGTGGGAGAGATATATAGTGTGTTTGACCTGTAAACCAAAGGGGGTTAATATCTATAAATGAATTGATTAATTGGTTCCAAGGAGAAAGAAAGGGGGAGGCTTTATAAAAGCTTTAAACATGCAATTGCTTGGGTTGAAAAGAAAAGAAAAAAGGGAAAGTTTTTGAAAGCAGAACTAATTTTTCGTGCATGGAATTGGATAAAAAGCTCTCTTGTTTTTGCTACCCTTGACTGTCACAGTGATAGATTTTCAAACTTCCTCCTTGCTTTTTTTTTTTTTTTTGAAATGCCGTTTGGGACCAAATGACATTTTAAATCCTCATGATTAAAGATGTTGTTGCTCTGCTTTCATCAACATGCCCCTTTCCGTTGGTCTTGTCTTTGTTACGCTCGCATGCAACCAACAAACTCAAAAGGAAAAGTATTTTTTTAAAAAAAATAAAAGTAATTAATCTCATGACAAGACAACACAACCAGTTCACTTACATAGTTTGCCACACACATTTGATCAATTTATCACTCATTGATTTAGCATAATCTTGATCTTGAATCAAGCAACAAAACGTATTAAAACAATGATAATAATAATATGATGCCAATAAACTCATGTAAAGGTGTGAAAAAAGCGGTTCATATATAATTTAAGAGACTTCAAGTATGTAGATACTTTAATTTGAATGGTATATATAGCCAGTTTAGAAATGATTTAAAGGAGGCAAAAAATACAAGCATGATGAGAAAGCAGTACTAATAATGGAGCTGGCTTGGGGGGAATATGAATAAAGCAAACTGGTGAAAGAAGAAGGAGAGGGATCGATATATGTGGATGCATTATAATTGCAAGTGCATGTGTGTGAGTGCAATGAGGAGGGTAGGGGACCCAAATTACGAAGGAGAGGAATCTTATGCAAAGCAGTGATATATAAATATATGTGTGTGTGTGTGTGAGTGATATATATATATATATAACAGAGTTCATAAGGCTAAAAATTAATCCTCTCCTTCACCACCAATAATAGTTACGTGACGTTGGACCCCCAAAACGACATGATTGAAGAGAGGGGGGGAGAGGTACTTGCAAAAGCGCATATACGAAGTAACATAAAGCTTAGACTAAAGTGAAAACAAACAAGGAATGGTGTTAAAAGCCATATCATGGAGTGTAGCAGCACAGCAGAAGAAGCAGTCACTAATAATTAGTAGTAGTGATGAGAGAGCTATATGTTGCGTAGCTACTTTTGACCCCATTATAACTATTATTGCCGTTTAACTCAGCTGGTCATTTTGCACGCAGCCACGAAAAGTGCTTAATTGTTCCATTTTTTCAAAAAAGTTTCAGAATCCTATGTGCCCCCAAATATTGCTCACCCAATTAACTCTCTGCCCTTCGTGGCCTCCTTGATTTGAAATCTCCGGATCTAGCTTGCTTAGGTTTTGCTGATTAACCCCAGTGACTACTTTGTTGTTCCAATATATATATATATATATATATATATATATATTCTGGGTGAAATCCACTTTGCCACGTGTATATGTTCAAGTCCGTTGATTTTCCCCCTTAATTTTTGTGAAGAACGATACTTTTTTTTTTTTGGGTTTGCCAAAGTAATGAATGATGCATATGTTGCTATATATCGAATAATCTTGCGCCTCTTTCAAATATGGTGGTTTTCAAGTATATGAACTATAACCTCTCGCCGGTTACCAGATAGAAGGGGGGGAACTTGTATTGATGCAAAGGAGCTTGAGTAATTATATTAGTTCCATCTTCCATGTTTACTTAACTCCTAAACGATCTAGGAAAGAAAAGGGCAAAAGAAAAAAAGAAAAAGTGATTCGGCATGCAAGCATGCACACACACGCACGCATCTAGTTCTCTCTTGAACTCAAGACCTGAAATTTCTTGAATGATGGAATATGGTAATTCATTCTTTTCTGTATTTTTATGATAATAATCATTATTTTTAGTTTTAAGATTAACTGAAAATTGATACCCATTATTTACATTTGTTTAGATGATTAACTTGGAAGACAGTGATGACCCACAGAGTGGTCCCTGTACAGATGGTTGGGAATATGGGCAAAGCATATTTACACGTAATTTTAGGTCATTACTTGTTATTATATTCGTTGGACCACTCCCGCTGATCAGAGAAATTAAAGAGGCTGAAAACTGAAGTACTCCTTCGGTCTTAATATAAGACCCATTTAACTAATTTGATTAGATTAAGGAAGTTAGGTAAGTTAGTTAATTATAAGAAATGTGACACGTTTTTCCTAAAATACCATAATCATCTTTTTTAATACCTCATTTTCCTCTTCTACTTGATTATGGTTGAAGGAGTATCCATAGGGGTAACTTAGAGAAAATTGATAAATATGAGAAATGGGTCTTATATTTAGGATCAAAATCAACTCACCAATTTAATAACAGGAGGAGTATCACACTTACCAGAAACATTAAAGACAACGACATGTTTGCTATGCGAGAAAGTGTTTTTTCCGAAAAGAAATAGAATATATAAATAAATGAAAGCTCACGCCCCCTTGAACTGACTTAATCACAATAGTGAGGAATATCGGAAAGCTCAGCACTTAACTTCAAAAGCATACATAAACACTGATATATTAGATTGATAACGTACGCTACCAGTACAAGGGCCATAGCTAGCTGCTGAGTCATACCAGAAATTCTCAGCGCCAACAAAACTCAAAATGAGAGATAGTTCTTCATCAAAAGCTTCCTAGCTAGAAAATAGAAATTTCAAAAGAGGGGAAAATTAAATAGATCGAGCCAAGTGACAACATATTGGGGGAGGGACCAAAAAAAAAAGTAACTATCGCTGACAGCAAGATAGCCTCTCTCATCATCATCATCATCAAATTCTCTTCCCCTCGGACAGCCAACCTAAAAATCATATATAAAACCACGTGTTAATTAAAGTACAGTGTACGAAGGAATGTTACTGAATTAATAAATGTCTCATATATATTAAAATTACCATATCAGATATTTCTATGACGAATATGGATTCCTGCTGCTGCTTGAGTCCCTTGGTGCATTGCACCGATAACACTCCATTCTATTGGCGAAGTTGTGCTCGTTGCATCCGGACCTATCCATTTTATCAAACGCTTCTCTAATTAAGAATCTCATAATAAATCCGATCTCTCTCTCTATATATATATTGAGTACTGTTATATTTGGGACTATTTATTTACTTTTCATATACAGTACAATACTTTTGAAAAATATCTGTTGGGATAATTCTTTTATGAGACGACTATTTTGTGTCTACTTGTATCAGCACTGGTGCTGCTATATATCATAACGTTAAGTACTGAATGAGCCTTGCCCGTTGGAAGATTTGCTTGGAATATGATTAAATATTGACAGATTATATAAAGTAAGGGAATCTGTCAATTATAAAGTAAGGACTCAGATTGAATTCATATCTAAGGATTCAAACATTGCTTTAAAGTAACTAATTAAAAACTTTTTGCTAGTGGAACATAACAGCATTATATATAAAGTCTCACCTGGTGCATATCCAGTCACCGGATTTCCAGCCAGGGCGGCTGGAGCTGCTGCCGAAGCCATAGCCTCTCATTCTGGGGATGTCGGCGTCGTAACCGCCGCCGGCGCCGGAGGAATCATCCTTGAGGGCACCGCACTTAAAGCAGCTAGAGCGGCTGGCGAAGTTGTGGGCTCCACAGTTGCCCAGGTTACAGTACCAGTCGCCTGGACGAACGTCTGGTCCAGTGGTGAAGCCTCTGCCACCAAAGCTTCCATATTCGCCTCCAACCCTTCCTTCTCCACATCGCTGGCAAGACTCTCTCCTCTGAAAGTTCAGGTGGTTGCATGACCTGCAGTTCCAATCTCCCGGTCTGCTCATTTTCAATCCCTCTGCTAGCTACCGCTCACTGCAACCCACGTACAGTTATATATCAATATCGTCGATGTAAATATATTTGTATGTGTATGTAATATACATGGATATATCATATATATTTATGAAAAATTATTAGTGCCAGCTAGAAAAAGCACGAATATATAACATGAAACAGATTAAGACTATAAGAACATAACTCACCCAGAACAGACTTTGATCAAGCTGAACAAAATGTATTGTGTTGTGATTGTTGGTGATGGGCTAGGTGCCTTATATACTGGCGTTAAGGCCTCGAAAAATGGGTGGGTATTGAAGTAAAGGCAAGTTTTTTTCCCCCCCTTTTCTTTTGCTTCCTTGAACCATGATATCGTCAAAAACTAAAATTAGAAAAGGGGTTAAAAAAAAAAATGAAATGCGACTTTATACACACACCAAAATATATTTATTAATAAATTAAAAAAAGCTATATTTGGTCACAGTATCTTTTAGGGTTTTTTGGGAGTGCCCTAGTGCAAAGTGCACGTACACATCATAGCCCTCTTTCATGGTTCAGAATAAAGCCATGGGTGAGTGTGTGGATTAACATAGTTGGCTTGTGAAGTTGTGACAAATCCCTCAACTAAGATCTATGGAGTCCAAAGAAAAGCGGCATACTTAAATCTCTCACCACCATGCACGTAAAAAAATTACTGGGAAAAATGGAGTTGAATTGTTCAACTTTGTCAAGCTGCACTTTTGTTTCCCACATATACATAAAGCAGATTATAGCATGCATCGTAATCTCTAAATAAATCTTTGATAGCCAAAAAAATAGGTCTTTGACTGTGCGTGGATGTTGTTTGACGGAGGAAAAAGAAGCACAAAACAAAATGGTCCTTACCATCTCACCGCATGGTCTAAGTGCTTCCTTTTTGGTTTTGATCAGTCCAAGATTGGATAAGGAGGAACACAATTCATTGTTTATCGCCAGACAAAATGAATATTCCTCACACTTCAAGGAAAAACCTCAAGAGAGGATCGACCCCACTGTCCCCCCCTTATATATATTCGCATTCAAATATTCAAATATATTTGTGTTACTGAGGAGGGGCCATGTCTCGCTTTCATTTAATACTTTCAGAACGGCCCGCATCAGTTATAAGGGCAGTCAGCTGAAAACTATAAACGATGAAAATGGGTGCTGCTTTTCAATTTTGAATATTCCTCTTTTGTACTTGGGACTCAATTATAAGTCAAAATCAAAATGGTCTAATTAATAACGCCCCATCGTATTAACTAACAGCGCTATTATCTTCTTCATGATGGAATCCGTTCAACAACAGGAATTAAGAGCTTCCTGCCAGTTCTATAGATGGTTTTCTGACATATAAATTCCAAGGTTTTTAACAAGTATTTGAATTAGCCGTGGAACATCAAGAATTGATAGAACTTATTTATACATTCATACATAGGATTACTCTTTCAAAATGTCCAATACATATGTAAGCAGAGATTTATACATATATATAGCTCATCATAGCAAATGACTGTGGAAGATCACGATTTAGTGAAAGAGATGGCCAAATACTGATTGGTATTGGGATGGTTCAAAACTCAAAGAAAGGAGCAAAAATTGGTAGAGTTTCGATAAAGAAAGTCGAAGTTGATGGTGATGGAAAAGAGAAGTGTTCGAGGTTCAATTTTTGACCATCTTTTCTTTTCTTTTTCTCCTTCATTACTGATATGGCTTTTTCGCTGTCATTTTCTTTTTCTCTCCCTCCTCATTAACGCTTCTTATCTTTCTCTTTCTTTCCCCCCTTTCCCTCCTATATATCCCAGTGTGATAAAGAGGGAAAGATGGAGAAGAAAGCGAGAAAACATATAAAGAAGAAACGCTAAAGAGGGGCAAAAAAAACTTAAAACTGAGAGATATCACTCCCCATTTTTCTCGGGGAATGGTAAAGAAAGGCTGTGGCAAGCTGTGAAAAAGCAAAAAGAAAGAGGAGGAAGAGTACTGATTCGATTCTCTCATTGGGAAATGCTTGCATGCATATGATCAAACCCATGTACGCCTAACGTTTACATATGCTTTCTCGTTTCATCTTTATCTTTTCATTATATTACTATTATATTAACCTAAACAGATAAACGCTTCTCATTTACGCTCTGTCACCCCCATTAAACAAGTTCGCCCAGTACTCCTTAAAATCTTCACCTACACATGTATTCGCTTTCTCTCGTTTCACTTTTACCTTCCCTTACGTCTACACGTGCATGCATGGACAGGTACTCCCAGTTTCATTATATTTAATTATTAATCACTTTAATTTAATAATTCCATATGCACCTAATAACACAACTCCATGTCATTCTTCATTATTATGCCCTTAATCCCAGTGATTTAATTTCACAAGCCTCGCACTGTTCGTCGAGGGAAAAAATATAAGTCGTACAATTATTGTTGTTTGGTTAAGAGTTTTTTGTCCCGTGGTGAATCATATATAACGATTTTTACATCTGCTCTAAAATGCATTTTACGTAATTCGTGTCCAGGTTGCATGCACGTGGGGGGTAAAATTATGGGAGTGACGCCATCACAATGATTAAAGTTTTCTCTTTTCATTTACCCCAAAAAAAAAAACAAAGTTTTTTCTTTTCTTTTACTTTTTAGACCTCCAATATCTTTTATAATATGCTCTGGGAATGTCCATCCATTTTGTTGATTTTACAGTGTTCCTTCCAAATCGTTTAATTATCTTCTGTGCACAAAGCTTGGGAGAGCCTCGCTCCTCAAGAGCCTGGGGCGTTCAATAATAGTAAAGGGGGAAATTAGGAATTTTAAGAGGTAATATTTATTATGAAAAATGCATGATTCGATTGAGATGTCACACTGTTGGCTACGAAAATCATATATTTAACGTGTTCTTGTCAACAAATCGTATACTTATAATATTTTGAGTTTGATTGAAAAACTTAAAAAAAAAAAAATCAGCTGATGTTTTTCCCCTTTTTTTTTTACATTTCACTTGATCATGGGCCATTTCTTACTAGCAATTCAGCCCAACTCCATTAGTGAGAATCTAATGGACACATATGATTATATTCTAAATCTAAATCTGGGCCTAGCCCTCTGAACCTCGCTTTCATATTCTAAATCTAACGGGCCCTTCATCGTACCCATTTGTTACTCCGAAACAATCACAGTAGTCTTTCGGTTGGCACGATGATGGCCCATTAGATTGAGAAAGCAAGAGCGAGGCGGGGAAGGTTCGGCCCAAACCAAAGAAGAAGGCCAGTAACGCTGCTTCCCGCTCGCAATTCAAACCCCGCCCTTAGAACTTTCGGCTCTCACGCTCTTTCCCGTAATGGTAAAACGGAAAAAGAACTGAAAAAAAATATATTGGCATTTTCCAGTCAGTTTCAATCGCTGGAAGGCACAAGAGCCAAAAGATGCAGAAAGCTGAGTCTAGGGTTGACAAGGGATCCTGATGATCATGGATTCTCCTGCTGCTACGAAGAAAACCCCCATTTCCGTCGCCACTGCCGATGCTGCTGCTTCTTCTGAATCTCCTCCTGTTCAAGTAAATTAACCTTCTTATTCTTCACTTGTCATATACCTCTTGCACTTGATTTCTCTGTTTTTGGACTATGTTTGTTTTCGTGCCATAGATCGGTTTTACGACTTTCTTTTTCCCCATTTAGATGTATTTATTTGTATTCTATCTATTAACTGTGTTAAATTGTCGGTTAAGTGGTATAGATTTAAGTGCTGAACACTAGTTTGTCATCCTAGTTAGGACTGAAACTGAATGCCGCACATATGCTTGCTAAACCGCAGACAGCAGACGCTAACATTTGGTAGCTGCACGGGTTAATCTATCTGTCTAGTGACGTCTAAAGCATCACTTAGTTAGCTGATTGCTTGTGAAAACCAGTCTTATTTGCAAATTGAAGGATAGCGGATGTCTCACTTGTTTAGTATTTTATATTCCAGGAGTCCCCTTTTTTCAGCTTTGTAAACAATTTATCTCCAATAAAGTCTGTCAAGGCTTCTCGTGTGGCTCAAGATTTCCTAGGACTAAATTCTCCCCCTGTTGTCTTCACGTCACCACGTATTAATCCCCATCGTGGATCCAAGTTCTTGGAGGAGAGGTATGCTGACTTAATTGTAGTACACTTTCTTTCCCTTTGTTTTTGCACTGGTTGTTAGTTGACAAAATTTGTCAATATCAGGCCTCAATGCTCTCAATCAGCCGCTGTAGAAATTTCTCAAAGTGTCAATGGGGGCAAGAGCCTTGCTGATAATCCTGTTGATTCTGACAAATCCACTTTTTTATCGCTGGGATTTATAACTGATAGCAAGAGAAATTATTCAAATACTCAACACTGCGGCTCTTCACTGTGTGTAGAATCTGTAGATGAATATTTAGCTGATCCTTCAGATATTGATCATACGCCTTCGGGGCATTCAGTCAACCCCGACGTGAAACAATCCAATGAGAATGTTGGATCATCACTAAATGACTTAACTCACTCAAAGAAAGCCCAATCAAAAGTTGATGACAAAAATGGTCCTGGTGACCAGATGAACGAACCTTTGATCTTGTTAGAGGAGTCTGAAGCCTCCTATCAAGAAAAGCCAGGACTAGTTGATGAAGCAAGGAAAGTAGAAGGGGAGAAAGCCGTTGAATGGCCTTCTCAAGAATGCGCAAAGTTAGAATCTATTTTGTCTTCTGACCATGTTTTTGAGAAGCAACGTTCTGATGATTCAATTGTCCAGGTAACGATCCTATGCTGCCATTTATATTGACGTAGTACTTACAGGACAGTCGTTAATATGTACGACTGTTATCCCTTTTTCTTTTTTCTGGCTAAATTTTGAGCTACAGTGAACGGAAATGAAATGCAGGATTGGGTGATTGTACAATCTCAGTCAAGAGCATTCCTTTGCTGGATTTCATCATGTTGTCATCAGTATGCATCTTGCAACGAATTAATTGCAGAATTTTTTTCATGTAAAATTGCAGAAATTAGAAGAAATTATATACAAATAGAAATTTTCAATTCACAGTCAATCATGAGAGGATTTCAAACTTTATTAGAGCAAATTAGGTATCAAACTATGGTTATGGGGATCTCTTCAGTTAAGGAAATTTGGCATTCATTTATGGAATCGTCTTGCATCACCGTTTAATCCATAGTTCTCTTGTTAAAGGTTTGAATTGGGCACGATGAAACAAATGTGGCATTATGCCCCTGTTGAATAACCAATATTTAATCGAATTTTTATGGGAAAATAGATAGCAGCATGGTTTTCAGGCATTTATATTGTTTGTTATTGAATTCATTAAGGTTATTCTTGTGCACTATACTAAACATTAGCTAAACATAACCAACGTAGGCCAGCCAAAAGCACCGAGGCCTGCGTAGACGGTGCCTTCAGTTTGAGGAGGTTGCGTCAAGTGTTTTTGGAAATTCGAACAGCTCCCCGCTTCAAGCCCATGTTCCCGAAGATTTAATACCATCAGCGAACTCCTCAGATTCAAAAGCTCTAGAAGCTTCTGATGTTGCACTAAATGACACTTCTGGTGAAACGAGAATGGCCAAGCAGCCCAAACCTATCACTGCTACCACATTTTCTGCGCGGCGTAGTGGAAGATTGCCTGTGAAAGGTTCCAAGCCATCAGGTATCGGGTTACACTTAAATAGCATTGTAAATGCTATGCCCCATGGCCGCGACGCGTTTACAGGTATGAGACTAGCAGAGGGTTGTACAGGTTTACAAGACGGGAAGTCTGTAAATTTACTTAGCTGTCGCGATGCTGAGGACTTTAAGAGGGGCTTACCTTCATCAAACATGGACGAGCAACCATCAGTTGGCAGTGAATGTGAGAGGTACGAAACGAATGCTTCAATAACTGCGGATTCTCTCCCCTCTGAGTTTCCGAGCTCTACAGAACCTGCAAATTTGTCAGCACACGTTGAGCATCCAGCAAGTGTCCAAGATGAGAGAAAATTAAGCTCTGTTGGTGATGGAAAATTTGAGGATTCCAATCAAACAAGCCCCAAAAAGAAAAAGTTAGTTTTATTTTACCTTTCATCTTTATGATATTTTGTTCTTTGTCTGTTTGGTGGGATCACCAAATGCCACATCATTCTCCAGGAAGAGAACATCAAACCCCACTGATGACGACGGTTGTAAAAGGTGCAACTGTAAGAAGAGTAAATGTTTAAAACTGTAAGTTAATTCATATATTGTCTGCTGTCACTTTCTCATGATATGTAGTATGTATTTTGATCTACTTGTTTGCAGTTACTGTGATTGTTTTGCAGCGGGATTATTTTGTGCTGAGTCTTGTGCTTGTCAAGACTGCTTTAATAGACCAGAACATGGAAGTTTGGTTCTTGAGACAAGGCAGCAAATAGAAACCCGTAACCCACTTGCATTTGCCCCCAAGATTGTGCAGCATGTTACTGATATCCCTTCAAATAATATGGTATAAAAGCCATTCAGTTCTCCCCCGCCCCCCCTTCTAATCTTTTGTTTTCAGAATTAATGATTTTATTTCATGTGTCCCTTACAGGATGATGCCAATATAACGACACCATCATCGGCAAGACATAAACGAGGCTGCAACTGCAAAAAGTCAATGTGTCTGAAAAAATATTGCGAATGTTATCAGGTTGTGTTTATCATGTGTTATTCGCTATTCTTCAAAATTTTCAGTTCCACCAATCTTCTCCTGTGCCCGCTAATCGCACTTTTTTGTTAAACTTGGAAAGGGCTAATATCTGCTATTTGCACCTTTTTTCATTTGAAAAAGGCTAATGTCGGATGCTCCAGTGGATGTCGATGCGAGGGATGTAAGAATGTCTACGGCAGGAAAGAAGGTAGGATTTTATATTACAAGTATTCGTTGTTAATTCATAGTGCTCCACAATATTTTATTCAATTGTCGTCTGATAATTTTATTCTCAGCTGAGCTAAAGCCTAGAATGCCTGCTGATGAATGTATAAATGCGTGGCTCCTTTTTATGGCTGCTATCATCTGCAATGCACCTTAGAAGGTTGTGAATTTATCGTGAAGAAAGTCCGAAATCTAACCGCCAAGTTAAATGAAATGCAAAAAAAAAAGAAAAAAAAGTGTCAATTTGTTTATTGCAAAACATGAGGGAGAAAGATCTTTTAAAAAAATGCAACTTAGAATGCTGGTTAAAATGGGTTTGTCTTTGTAATCTCAGATTACGTTGCCGTTGAACATGCTTTGAGTGAAGAAAGGAGAAACAGAGCAGAAGAAGGATTAAATAGCAATAGCACTGTTCACAGTAAGCTGGAAACGGAGGCAAAGAAGACGGATTTGTTACATGGAGAGTTATATGATCTGCACTGCCTTTCTCCTCTAACACCGTCTTTGCAACACTCAGAGTACGACCCCTTGCACTATTTATCCTTATGGAATGTAAAAATCGTAATCTTCAACACAAGTTTTCGGCATGTGCCCCACTTTTGGCTCACATTCTTGTCATTTTATTTGTATCCAGCCAAGGAAAGCAAGCTGCAAATTTAAGAGCTCCTTCTGGGGAATATCTTCCGGCCACAGAGATGATAAGAAATGCCTCTTATGATCGGCAACAAGATAGCAACAACATGGAAACAACGGATCAGTCATCGCCAAGATGTAATTCAGTTGCCAAAGGAGGCCAGCTCATTATTTCTAATTCTCAGTCAATATCTGGTGCTTCATTCTCAACTAAAACAAGGGATCAGACGCATATTCCCCTTGTTCTATCCGGCGGTTCCCTTCGGTGGCGTAGTTCACCAATCACCCCAATGACTAAATTAGGCGAAACTAAATCTCTGCAATGTCTTGAATCGGATAGCAGACTTTATGATATTCTAGAAGATGAAACTCCTGAGTTGTTGAAGGAAGCTTCTACTCCGATTAAGTCGGTGAAAACAAGTTCCCCTAAGCAGAAACGAGTTTCTCCTCCGCACAGTCATCTACGTGAACTTGGTTCAAGCTCTTCAGGAGGCTTAAGAACTGGCAGGAAATTTATATTGAAAGCTGTACCTTCTTTCCCACCGCTGACCCCATGCATTGCTTCGAAAGCCAATGATCATGAGAAGTCAGAGAACAGCAGGCAAGTGACCGACGATCCCAAAACCTGAAAGGATCTCTCAACATGTGTTGGTTTGGGGTTATCATCCGACCCAAAACAGAAAGGGATATAAAAAAAAAATTGTAAAAATAATGATTGATTCGAGAGTACTTTTCCTGAGAGCGGAAGTGCAGACCCTGGCTTATGTAATGTCGTAGATTGTCTTGCCACCGTCGGGTGGGGGCATGTTAGCAAGTTACTTGTGTAATTAGACAGACCTGTAAGCGTTGCATAAACTGCTATATGCATGTATTATTTGAATTGAAGTCGCTCCAACCAAAATTGAGTCGATGAGGATGAAGGGTCGGTCCAGAGCTTCCGATAAGGGCATGTAGTTAGTAATGAGCGTAAATATCACTTAATTGTCATTTTATTTCTAAATTTTGATGCTGAACAATTTATTGTGTAAATAGAACTTGACCAGATGAATGATTTATCGTCAAAATAGGTTCCTCTAGGTAACTTGTTTGGTGGAACCAGACCCAAATCAATGACCTGTTCTATATTGACAGGCGATAGGTTTCGCTTGGAATTTCTTCTTTTTATTCCTCCTTTTTGCTTACTTAAAACAGATGCTTCAATTCTTTCTTTTTGATTTTCGCTTTTTTGCCGTGAAAGCTCCTGTGTTTCCTCAACTCATTAATCATGGCTGAATCCTAAACCCTTATGGAAGACTCGGTGAGGCACGGGAAATTTGGCTGTTTTATCTAGGTTCAATTTCAGTTTCTGATCGCAATTTAATGTTCTGCCCTACGCATCACACAGCCTGCGATGAAGCACGTTTTTGTGATGAATTAAGATGTCTTACGCAATACACGAAATTCGAAATGAGCTGTAATACAATATCATAAACTAGTGAAAGTATGATTTCCTGCACTTTTTATATTTTATATTAATGTATAATTTGCACATATATACATATATATATTTGGTTATGATTAAGCACGTGGTTACAAGATAAGCCCAGAGACAAGTACTGTTTTAGAGCATCGGCAACATTATGAGCCGGCGCCATCAGCTACCCGTACGCTTAGAAATACGAAGAGATAACATCACCCAAAAATAAAAACGAAGAGGAGTTCATTAAGCAAAACCAAAAACATGGAAAGATGCCATTAGAGATCAATAGCAACTTCTTCGCTGTTTTAAATCTAATTTACTCCTCAAGAAGCCCAACTTAACTGTTTCCATCAGCCTAGGCCTTAACAAAGGAAATTTAATTTAGCCCAACCCAACTAGCTGTTTAACTTTTATTATCTTTTCGCCTAGTACAAATACAACTGATTCTGAACCCCCAAGAAAAAGTACCGCAAACTAATAATGAAATTTAACCAATATTTGACTTTATTTGGACCAAAACACAGAAACCTGCATATCCACTGCCATAGGACATCTTAAGCGAAATAAACAAAATTTGCAGGATGTGAAGGAATCATCCATGTCCTCCCCCTACCAGCAAGAAACCTAGCGATCCATGAAGTTTATTCAGAAAGTAACGTATACCCCACACCACTATCTATTTCTATAGTGCCTTTCCATTGCCTAAAAGGATGCTTCTATGTCAGTTTTCTTATCTAGCTTCTCTAGTTCAGCCGAAACCCCTCAAGCCCCAAATTTGTAGTCAGCCAATTGCAAACCTCATCAGTCTCTTCAGGGACAGTGTAGTGACCCAGTCTGCACAGAAAAAATATTTGAGTCCATTAGACTTCTTCCCTGGACAAGCATTATAAGCTTTGCAGAACATAGTAGGGTACCCATTATAGCTCCTGAATATAAGATTCCTGAATCCAGCTGAGCTCAAGGTTTGCGCAGAGTGCTCTCCCTGCCTAAATGCAACCACATCATCAGCTGCAAAAAGAAATCAACTTTCAAGACGAAACCTTTTCGGATAATATCGAGCAGGCAGGGATCATTATGGTTACAATTGTCAGCTCTTACTTTTGCTTCTCACCACAACATACCTTCATCAACACATTCAGACATTGTCATGCTAAGGGCGATATACCTTTCTATGTATTTTCTAAGGCCAATGTCAAGAATTCAGATATTTTTAGCACTTGTTCCACATAGAAGCTTATCAAAGAAGACAAGGGAACTGAAGCACTCACCAACAATGATTTGCTCATGACAAATCATGACCATGATCTGAGTTCTTGGTGAATGAACATAGCTATGAATTGAAAGGAACAAGTATCTGAAAAACTATGCTAACGTTGTCGACATGGTACTCAAAAAAATTCAATGAATGCAACATGCTGGTGAGATCTCTGCCTATATTAGCCTTAACCAGTTTTTTGAGCTCAAATATAGGAGAGCTCAAATATAGGACACAGCACACATCACATCTGCACACGCGGTCAAAGAAAGCATCAGGAAAGGCTGTCTATTCTTTTTTGGTTACATGAGAAGGATTTAAACCCTTGACGTCTATTTATATCGCACCCTACCCTTACCACCGAAGCTATAGAAAAAATTGAACTTCCCTCAACATGTGGAATTCGGTGAGAAAGACAGATAAGGAAACTATGCTTCCATGCTATTCAAGGAAAAACTCCCAATAAAGTTAAAATTGCCAAGTATAATGAAGATTGACCAAATCTATGAATACCTAAGCCATGGCCGAGAAATAAGGGCAATGCCTCTGCACGCCTTAAGGCTTCATGTGATCCTTCAATTTGATTTTTGAGGGTCCTGCATAAATAGTAGCTTCTGGGTTAATTAACCTTCCCAGACAAAAGGAATGCGTTGGGAGGTGTGCCTTAATGACAGTATTTCATTCATTGGCCTGTGGACATATAACAGAAATCAAACCTTGAACAAGGAAGCCAGCCACTTAAGGCAACAACTGCACTCAAGTTGATGGGATAAGCATTTCCATCTCTGTACCGCCCCAAAGCATGGCATGTGGCTGAATAAAGTGCAGTTGCAGCACCCATACTGAAGCCCCCAACACCAAGTTTAACTGTACGGTCAAAGCAGCAATAGCATTTAGGTTGAATTATATGCAACACGGAATTGTAAACAACAATCTCACGTATATTATCATATTGTGGATATTAGCTCTACATGTTTCCAGAAAGAGCATTTTTCCCCTTTATGATAAGCTAGCCAAAACTCCAAGGGCAGGATAAGAACCTTCAAAAAATTCTTGAATTACAATTTCAGTTACTCAATAAGTGTTCTCGGGTTAAATAAATATGCCTACTACAGAATATCATGAGAAAGTCCCAAGTTGGCACTCCTTTTTTCCCCATTTACTGCTATATACTGGGAGCTGAATGAGGGATAAAATGGAATAGTAAAATTATCTACTAATACTGAAGTGTGCAATAAAACAAGTTCATATAGAGCCAAAGGCTTACGGTCTGACCTGGTACAGTGGCATGGGTCAAAGATAATATAAGATGTCGTGCTAACTCAATAAGAGCTCTCTCTCTCTCTCACACACACATATACATATGCACTGGAGTCTGAAAGAAAACTTAAAGCAGCCTTATTATATGATGATTTTCCTCAATGAGATAACCAATATTAAACTTGTTTTTTTTGAGCAAACAAAGTCAACCAATATTAAACTATTAGAGAGGCAATACATCAAACAGATAGAGGCATAAAGTGGCTGGCTACTTCAATATTTTCAAAGATTTTGATCAATTCCTTTGGGTGATCCCCAAATGATGCCAAACCCATGGCTCTTACTTGCCATCATTAATATATATATATATATATATATTATTCTTTCAAATTCTAGGGAAACTTGTTCCCATAAATCGGTCAGTCCACATGACCAAAAGCAATAGATCCATCGGTCCAGTACCGTCAAAAAGTCTAAGGAATGTCCAGGATGCTTATTGGCATCATCTGTTTCCCTAAGGGGAGCTTTCTATATTGATTGCAATTAATTCAGTATATCACCTAATCTGAGCAAAAGAAATAGCATTAATCATCTTTTACAAAAACACATACAAATAATAGTTTCTCAAGTGATCATGGTAAAGGGAAAACCTACTATTTGGAGGCTCTGTTGACAGAAGATTGGCAACGTGTGCTGCAGAAGCATTTAAGCCCTCTATATCATCCGAAGCATTTTCAGAAATATCTCCTACATCAAACCCTGGGAGAGATCACTCCATCAAATTAGACTTTGGCAATCATGACAAAAGAGTAGACATTAAATTTCTATATTGAATGTCGAGTATGAACCAAAGAATAGGTAAATGGCATTACTAATTAGTAGCAAGTTCTGCAGTCAAAGAAAAGCAGGAAAAGACAGTGGTGCTGAGTCAATGACAATGGACTTTTCAGGGAGCATAACTTACAAGCAGTGCAGGGAAATCCACCAAATGTTGCTACAGGCCTTGTAGGTGCAGTTGGGCAAATCCATTTAATCTGTTGTACAAATTTGCAGAGAATGAATGATAAATGCATTTCAAGAAAACAACTACTTTCCCAGAAGTACAGTAGCAATGGAAAAATGTCAAAAGAACATGATTATTCTTACATTTGGAAGAGGAAGAGTTTCCAAGAGTTGGGACCAACTGCAAAACAAAGCGAATCACTTTCATTCATTGGTGGTTAATTTTGAATACTTCAACTAGGCGTACAAAATTGCAAAAATATGAAAATATTAGGAATATCCAAGAATCAAGGGTTGTGTCAGGAAAGGTGAAGATAGTTGTAACTATTATAAAGATTCTTTAAACAAATACCCATGAAAAGTAGGTCACCTCCTGCCTAGTTTTGGGACCACATATTACCAAATGGCATATATGATATTGCATGAATATAGGCACTAGCCAACCAAAATCACCAAGAATTAACTACTTAGCAATTGGACAATCCATGTCATTGTTTGGTAAATATTACATCCGATCCTTAATATAAGAGCTAATTGACTAATTTGAGTAGATTAAGAAAATTAGTTTCGTTAGTTAGTTGTAATAAATAGGTGTTGTCTTTCCTAAAATACCCCTGCTAATCAAGTGTCATTTGATGAAATATTTCACATGTACAACTACTATAAGGACTATCTTGAAAAAAAATGGATAAATACAAGAGACAAAGTGAATTGGGATCTTATATTTAAGACCAAATTAAAAATCAAACTAGCTATTATATTAAGGACTGGAGGCAATAGTATATTTATGTATAGTAAGTTTTGGTTATAGCACAGGTAGTGAAGTTGTGGTCCCATGTTCCATTATTTGGGATATGTATTAGTAAAAGCTTCAGTTTTCCTGAACTGAAAAAGTAAATTAATTGATAAGAATCTTCTGAAAAGGGGTATGGAACTCCAAAACTTAAACTAAAAACAAACTCCTTGGCCAGAAGCAGACCATATTGACATTCCTACTCCTCCCTTCATTTTACTTGGAGCAAACAAACCCACGATTCTCCCTAAGGCATATTCTCAAGCAAAAGTAGAAGGCATCCGCTCAAACTGAGTTTGCCAATAAAAAAGGAATAACTTGTTGACATAATAATAGTTAAAATGCCAAACATCACTAACTCCTCGCCGTTGAGAGCCATGCACATTGACAAGGACAGTAATTGAGCAAATCAGTGGTGGTTTGTTACTGCAAGTAAAGTGAATTTTCAACATTTGGTCGTTCACACCATGTGCCCACCAGCTCAAAAGGAAGAAAACTATTCCCTAACACACACACACACTCTGACGAGTAAAACCATTAAACGATACTTGCTACTGTTAAAAAAAAAAGATATACTCATGGCAGCCACATACCTTGAGCCGTTGTCACCAAGGCCATGTAGCCAAACTATAGTTGCCTGGTGGTTAGCTCTAGGCCTGACCACATGGGTCCTTCCAAACTCGAAAGTCCTTCTAGCAGTTCCGCTGCCTGAACATTGCAGCACAAAGTTAACATAACAAATGCCAGAAATCCTAGATAATTTAGCAGCTAGAAACCGAGATATTTTCTTCAACAATAAACCTATATATTCAGAGCACTGAAGATGCCATAAGATGGAAACTGACCTGAACTCAAAGAGGAGTTGTTGTAACTCATGCTTTTTCTATCAAAATAGTTTATCCTCTCAGACCACTGTCACAGCGCTTAGTATGAGTGGCTGCAATGAAGAATACGAACATTAGCACTCTCTATTTATACACAAATGGGAGGGTGAAAAGGAATAATAACAATGAATCTGCATCGGCTACCCTGCTTAAACTAGCTAATCCTAGTTGAAACCTCCTTGAAATTTGACAGAAAGCGAAAAGCACTAAAAAAAAGGAGATAGTTGCTAGGGGGGCCAGAAAATAAAAAAAAGTTATAGCCCTTTTTATAAGCAGAATCCCCAAGAAACTAAGCGCAAAATGTAGAAAACGAATGAACGGGAGTGTTTACTTTGTAATGTACGGAGAGTAGAAGAGCAAGGGTTGAAGAATCTAAAGCTTGCGGACATTGGGTAAAGACCAAGCAAAGCACTTCAACCAGGACAAGTAGAATATTGCCCAAATTTAAAAATATAGATTGCCGGTGGACTGCACGTTTTGCAAGATTGATCACTGAAAAACTATCAATGGGTAAAATAAGTTGAAAACGGTCATTCGGTGGCATGAACTTGCAAGTATTTATCTTTATGTGTTTTTGTGTGTAACACGAGAATCTGTAATAAAGAAAATAAGTTTATATTGAATGGTGAGAAAATAAAGTGGGTGGAGCTATCTTTACACCAACCTCATGGGGAAATAAACCCCAAAAAAGCATTTGGTCTTTTTCCTTTTCTTGTTGACGTCCCTTTGCTTGTTCCCACGACTTTCGCTCTTCGCTCAGTGTAGTGTAGTGTCAATTCTTTCTTCACTCAGAAACACCCCAGCAAGCACAGGGCAAAGCTCGTGGATTCCTCACGTCTTTTGGTGACCACAATGCCCCTTTTAACAGCTTTTATTCCTTTCTTCTATCCCAGTTTTTCTATTTCAAGAGTACTATTTACTTAATTCCTTTTCCAATTCTTACTCACCTCCTCAACACATCATATATTCACATTGTTAATTCCATAACTTCAAGAAAAAAGCAATTACAGTGTGTGATAATACTATCAACTCTTTTTATAAATATATAGTTTTTAATTGATGAGGATTCGTTATTTTATAATGGTGGAGGTAAAATACAGCTGGGGCAGAATAATATTAGAAAATAATTTCACCTGAAAGCGAATTCTGTGGAAAGACAACCTAAGATAAAAAAGCTTGATTTAGTTTTGTCTGTTTCTGCAATATAATAACAGCTCAGAATTTCAACCTCGAAAGCAAAGCAGTGTTCACACCTAATGCCCCCCAATTCCATCTTCGTATCAAGCCTTTTCTCTGTCATCTTTTCCAAAATGTCGTCCTCTTTTGCTTCTTTACAACTTATATATCATATGTTTTTGGTTTCTTTATGTCTTTTTGAATAATCTTTACAACTTTGCGTTGATTCTAAACAATCTGTCCTGATTTATTCTTCAGCATCAACCACAATTTAATAAACAGTTGAATGAGAATCCCAGTTGGTAGCATAATAAAGAAACCCTTCACTATTCCCATGGCTCTCAGCCTACAGATTACAGAAACCACAAAAAAGAACACAAAAGAAAAGATATTCGCGCCTTATGAACCGTATAGATGACAGCAGATCCATCTCTTTGACATATGTGTGTGTACACATGCGTAGAGAATGTTGAGAAACAGAGTAAGGCTTGTGTTGATAGACTGCAATGAGGAAATAGTCTAGATGTGGACATTATTTAGAGCAAATGAAATGACGTGCGTCGGGCATCTTCCAAAGAATAGAGATCTTATAGGAAGTAGCCTATACTCAATCTCACGTCTCTCACTTTACATGTATATTCCAATGACACCAAGCTCAGTTTCCGTGATTAATTAAATTATAAGATTGCTTTCAGATGACACAAAGTAATTGTGGTGGGAATGTCAAGTTATGGCTTTTTGTTGGTGGAATATTTGACTTTTGGAGAAAACATAGTAAAAACGGAACGGGCAAAAGAAGCCCTACCTAGAAAGCCAAGAGTGTAGGCTTGCACTTGGGAATGCGTGCAATTATTTGCCTTTTTCTGTGCTCGAGAAAATGACTATTTCTTACTTACTACTAACAAACACTTTTGAAGCACAAGAGTTTGCTAATATCATTGTGAAGAAGGAGGAGAAGGGTATCAATAATTCAGCATATAACCCCACCAATGACAAACGTCCTGTGTGGGGGCGAATCGAAGATCTTGCAGGACGTGCTGCTTTGAAACGTATGGCTATGATGGCACAATGGTGCTTTGCAGAGACCCACTATTACAAGTACTATGGGATGCAGGCGATGAAATTTTTCATATTAATGTGAGTAATTCTAAAGAGAAATGTTTGTTTAGACTTTTCATTTATCTTGATGTGACGAGGTGCCACCTCATGGACAATACAATTAAACAACAAGGGAAATTAGTCAATCAATATTATTCGAGTGGTATGTGGTTAGGTTTTGTCCGGGGTATTAATGGATGGGGAATGTCAACTATAGAAAACCAATGGCAATAAGGCTGAGCTTAGGTCAAGAAAGCGAATTGATTCCAGCAATTTAATTGACAACATTTGGAAGCAAAACAGAGGAGGAGGACCATGCCTACGTTGTACAGTACAAACACCCGCTCCCTACCGTTCATTGTTTCCTCTCAATCCTGATCTTCTCTGCGGTGCCAAGACATAGCCCCAAGATACGGTCCATCCTAACTCGGCCTTCCTTCCTATTTTTTTCCCCTTCATTTTATTATCTTCTGTTCTAAATATATAAGCTAAATAAGGAATTTGATATTATCCACATAATTATAATTAAAAGGATGTTTAAAACTATACTCATTTATTATAAATAATTATCTTAACTTTCTTAATATTCATATATATATAGTTGTTATACTTTAAGCAAGGAGGGAGTATTTTTTGTCCGGGCGTCCGTAGGGACATTGTTTCAGAGGCACACGTGACTCGCTTCAAAATCATCTTTTAATTCACCACCCACGTACACTTACATTTTGATTACTTATCTTTTATCTGTTTTTTTTTTTTTTTTTTGAACTTGCTAAAGTGTTATTGACCCCATCGGCGGAGTGTTTTAGTGTAGAGTTCTTTATACTTACTCTGCCACTATTCACAAGTGGCATCAACCCAGCAAAAAATGCCACGACGTTTAGTTTGGACGTCACATCACGCATGCAAATAATAAGAAAGGCTTGTAGACCAACAAAAAGTGAAAACACAACAAAAAAAAAGAAGATTATAACATAAACCTAACACACGTATGGGACTTTGACTAAAAACAGTTTAAACCAAAGCGTCATCCTGATAACTAGGGAGCTGTTGATTTTCTTATTGCACGTAGCCCCATTTCGTCTACTCCGATATTTATGTAGCAGCTCAATTAGCTCCTTTTAAACATCAATCTTCCTCCTAAACGTTATTCTTCATAAAATGGGTTCAAACAACTATGAAGCAGAATTCAAAGCAAGCACTACTTCTTGCCCTTAAATATACAGGGCGTTCCCTTCCACAGTAGAGGGTAAATTAACGTTGGCAATCTTTCTGAGGATCAAATCAGCTTTATCCCGAACTCTAACTGAACCCCTCACAGAAAGATCAGCCATCACTGCAGAGAACTCAGGCAGCATGAGAGCCTCTTTAACACACTCTTCACTATCATCAAACAGTCGGATAAGGATATCAGCTGCACCTTCCTTACTCAGCAAGGACCTTCCTTTCAGCACACGCAACATCCAAAGGACTATCTGGTCAGTGCTCTTCAAAGCACTAAGCCCTTCATCAAACCTAGCAAGGAGACTAAGAACGGCAAGGGCAGTTCCGGCTAAGTCCTCACTGCCAGTGCTCTGAACCACTTGAAGCAATACGGGGATTGCCCCTGTTCGCACAGCCAGAGTGCAATTCCCATGGAAGTGAACAAGCTCAGCCAGGCAACTTAAAAGGTGATGGGAATCATAATCAAGAGAGGTTGACACGGCCTTAACCAACAATTGAACCGTGCCTGCGACTCCGAATTTGGCCTTGTTCTTGTCAAGCATGGCCAGGCTGCAAATCAATGAGGAGGCTAATTTGGAGGAGTCAGAAGTTGGTGAGCTGATGCGGGAATTGAGGTGGTAAATAATTTCCATGTCAGCAAGAGATTGCTTCAAGTCAGCGTTCAAGGAAAGGTTGAAGAGGATCAATAAGGAGAGGGTTTGGACAATGGAGGAGGAAGCATTTGTTAGAGAAGCCAAAAGAGGAATAGCTCCATCTGTCTGAGCAAGCAAGGTTCTGTTTTGAGGACTGACCCTGGTGATGGAAGCCAGTGTTTGGAGGGCTTTTTCCAGGTCTTTGGGAGAAGAATCTACTGCTTTGGCCAGAAACACGCATTCACGGATAGTTTCAATGACCCGAGCTGAAGACATCTTTTTCTCTAGTGGTTTCAAAAGACCATGTCCGAATTTTTAACAAAGCATGGATACAGGTACGCAGGTGTCGGGAGATTGTTTCAATGTTATGGAAGAGGCATCAGCATTAGCTCCGCTCGATGATCCCAGTGCCCCTTCTTTAATCTTTCTTCTTGGCTGCGGGCGGGGCTGCATCGGTCCGGCTCCAAGGAAAATTATTAAATGCAATATTGAATAATGTCAACCGCTTTCGTCCATCAAACTGTGAAATTTTCCAAGTTTAACTTTGAACAAGTCCTTTTTGTCATTTTTTATGCCTTTTAGCCACCTGCTCACAGGTATTGCTAACTTTTTAGCCGACATGGCGGCAAGTACTTCGGATATTTTATTCACGCCAGCCACAATTTGGTTGTGAATTCCATTTTTAAGCCGAAATTTAAGAAATAGAATACGCACACGAGCAAACAAACAGGCAACGAATCTTACGCATCAGTCGCTAAATGTTGAGCAACTTAAATCAGCAACCCACCGATGTCATCCACATCTAACATCATTTCACTTGACGAGATATATTATATACTTCAAAACTAAGCCCACGACCTCAGCCATATAGGATCATTTACTTTTGCCAAATTCCAACTTAAAGAAATAAATGTGTATTTTATGGTTGGAAACTGCCAACCAGAACTAGTAATATCCAGCCAAAATTTGAAATCCAGTTCAAGCATTCAACTACTACAACATAATAACCTAGGTTCCCAAACTCTAGCTGCCTCCAGCAAATACTTCTAACTCAAACCGCACCCTAAAAGGGACAAGTACCTGGACTTATTCTAGGAGATATCGTTCAAACATGACATCGCATAAAAATCAAGCCAATCAGGCGCAGATTAGAAATTGAACCCCCCAGCTCATGAGGTGACAATTTAACAAGACCCTGACGCCCAGATAATCACCTTTGGTCTGAATATGGAGAGCCATCACCATACGAGACCAAGCCTTTCTTTCCATCTGGGCTTTGGGAAGATGACCTCGACCTGTCTTTACTTGCCTTTCTAGGAGACTCTGATTCACCAGAAGACCTAGATTGTGACAGACTGCGGCTTCGACTTCGAGATGACAACTTGCGCTTCGCCATGCGAGGTGAAGCACGAGATCTATATGGCTCAACAGGGGAACGACTGCGAACTGGGCTTCGGCTTATGCTCCGGCTGTAGCGGCGACCACGGTAGCGAGGACTGCGAGATACTGAGGGAGTCCTACTTCTTCTGCTTCGGTACCTACATATAAGAGCTCATTTAATCACATTTTTCAACCAAAAAAGATTGCTAGCATAACTACCAACAATGGGGAAAGTATTGGTTCCAAAAAGATCTCTGCAGTGAACCAACTCTAATATGATACGAAAATGTTGTGCCTCAGACAAATTTAGTAACAAATATCCCAAGAAATTCAATATATCATAGGAAAGGGATAAAAACCTGGGTGGCGTTCTTCCTCGAGGTGGGGGGCTTCTGTAGCGCCTAGGGGAATACCTTCTGTGACTAGAATATCTGTGAACAGTGCATTGTAAGTTTTTTTTTTTTGGGGGGGGGGGGGAATATTGTAAGATTATTTACATTCAACAATGCTTCCTACAACAACCACAAAAAATGTACTCAGTTTTACCTGTCCCGGTCACTTCTTCCATTGTACCGGTAAGACCTCACAGGAGATCGAGAAGGGGTTCGATACCTTCTTGCATAAGAGTATCTCTCACTAAAACCTCTTCCCCTTCTGATACGCTTTGGGGATATGTCAGGAGACACACTCCTTGACAACCCACGAGATGACCTTGGCCTACGAACAGGAGTAGGACTCCTAGAATAGCTGCGAAGATTTCCTCTACTAGGTGCCCTCACAGGACTTCGGCTGACACCTCTCCTTGATGGAACCCTGCCAGAGCTTCTGCTCAAGCTCCTTGCAGAAGATCTAACTGGACTCCTGCTTATACTCCTCCTTGAAACCCTTACAGGGCTTCTGCTGACAGATCTTCTTGATGACACTCTAGCTGAACTCCTGCTCCGGCGGCTATGAGATGGGGATCTCACTGGACTCTTGCTGATACTTCTACGTGAGCGGGTTCTCACAGGGCTCCTACTGACACTTCTCCCCTTCGCACCCCTCACCGGGCTTCTGCTGATGCTTCTGCTTGGGCTTCTGCTGATGCTTCTGGCAGGGCTTCTGCTGAAACTCCTCCTAGACGGAGATGGAGGGCTTCTACTACCACTAGGACTTCTGCTAATCTTCCTTTCTGGAATAGGACTTGGACTATTGCTCTCACTTCTCCTGGGACTAATACTCATACTCTTACTCATAGTCCTCTTGGGACTCATGCTTCGACTCCTGCTCATCAACTTTCAATATAATACCAGATCTGGAAGAAATGATAAGCATAAAGAATAACTGAGGTGTGACAAGGGTGGAAAGTAGACCTAGATTTGCCAGGATTATCATCCATCACATCAGGCTGCCTCTCCCCACTTCTATCAGATCTAGAGTCAGCTCCAATACCATTGCTATGCCGTTCTCCATTTTCTTTGGGGGATGCTTCCTCATTCTCTGGTGTGTCCACTCCCCTCCTTCTACGATGCATGGAATGTACTTCTCTATCCCCAGCTATAGGAGAGTGAACTTCAGCTGCAATAATATGAGAAAGTTGAGGTAAGTGATAAAATAAATTAGCCAAAAGAACTGATCAATAGGGCAAAGAGAAATAGAATACAAAGCAATTGAATGGTCCGCTCACATATGCTTCCAGTTTGTTGGAGCTTCATTTTTATGATTACTCGTTTAAAATTGATGGTTAGTATAATGAAAGTGAAAATCAAGGAAACCACAAATATAACGTTACTAGAGAAATAAAGTTAACAAGGAACGCAATACTGCATCAAGTAATCACAAGCTTAAGGAACCTTTTCCATAAATGAACAAGCACATATTTCAGGATTTGGTCCGTTAATATGCAAGAAAGGGTCAAAGACGAAGTGATCTATTTCAATTGTGAGATCTTCAGCCAAATGTACTCAACATATAAATAATACCATTTTTCAGAGAATAACCTCTGCGTCCTTGCTCCTTCCCTTGGGCATCAAGACTTTCACCATCAGAGCTGCTGTCACTTTTGCTTTCACTATCTGAATCAGTGACACTGTCCGAATCCCTAAAACAGCACAACTTTAGAACTTGACAAGCATGAGAAATAATGTTGAAGCAAGGTATAACTTATCACCACAGAAAAACACCAATAACATTGCTAAGTGCAGCAAACTAATTTAGAACTTGAAATCATGAGAAATAATGGTGAAACAAAGTAACAAATGGGAAAAGCCAGTTTCATCTGACCGAACAGCAAGAATGAGATATAAGTGACCCTTTCAAAATAGAGACACAGCACAAGACAAATTGAATCCAATCTTGTGAGGGCGCACAACCTAAACAGCTATTATTTGTTCACCACAGCAAATAAGCATACAATCATAACAAAGGTGTCCCAAATCTGAAATCCATGTGTCTGTTACCAAAGGTTCGTCAATCTTAAGTAGTCAATACCTTCTAGATCTGCGCTTTGATCTTTTATCTCGTCTCCGTCGCCTCTTGTCACGACGCCTGTCCCTTCTTTTTCGGCGTCTATGTTTGTCTTTCCTAGATCTTTTTCTCTTTCTCCGCCTGTCATCACTGGAAGAACTTATTGAAGATGATGATGACAGATCTGAATCAGAATCACTATCAGATTCTGATGATTCCATGTCTGAATCTGAGTAACTCTCTGATTCAGATGAGTAGTATCTTTTTCTCCTTTTCCTTCTGTCTCTTGAAGATTTTTTGTGCTTTCCCTTCCTCCGTGCTTCATGATTGTTGGTTTCAGAAGTCAATTTATTCATTTTCTTTCCATCTACAACCATGAAAAAAAATAAAGAATCAATGCAACACATAAAAGGCCAACCAAGCCAGAACCAAGATTTAAAGGAAGGGACGCATCATATGTTATGCTTTAGCATCTGGTATTGGGGATTGCAAACACATCTCTTGGATGATTGAAGGCTTAATTATTATCCTTTTTAATATGAAATGGCCGACATGAGTCTCACCTTCATTATATTCACCACAATTGATGATTTTAACAGTTACAGTTGGACGCCCATCTTCATCACCCACATCTTCAATTCTCTTCAATACATTAAGTCCTTGAACAAGCTTCCCAAAGACCACATGCTTCCTGCACAAAATTCCACACGACTCATACACTTAACCAAATGCAATGTTTGTACCCCCTCAAAATAAGGAGGAAAAAATGCAGACCATTTGAGGGTAATAAATAGTAAATACCACCGAGAGTTATCCATATAAACAAACCTGTCAAGATGGTGATCAGCTTTCAATGTGATCATAAAATGAGACCCAAGTGCATCACGATTAGCAATTGCCATCGACAAGAGACCCGGCACATCATGCTTAAGCCTAGGTGACTCATCTGAAATGAATTACAAGTAAAACGTGTAAAGACTCTGTTCATCAAAATGAGTAAAAAGGACCGCACACATTTTGAGCTATATCTGTAAGAAGAAATTATTGTGCTCTATGCAACAAGAAAAAAAGTATGACTCCATGATCCAGAATTCTCACCTGGGAATTTTGAGCCATATATGCTTTCTCCACCAGTCCCTGCAATGAGAAAGAAAATGTGATGCAGAAGTGCTACAGTAGAGATTACATCTCGGGATGAGAAAAATGATTGCCAGATTTGGAAATCGGACATGAATAGAAAACTGAGCATAAACTAAATGAAACTCATACTTGATATTCACATTGTGATTAGGAAGAACAACTTGGTTTACAGTGATTACTAAATATGATACAGTATGCAGCTAAATCTTCAAAGAAGAATCAAAATACGCATACAACAGTAATTGATCTAAACTGATGATCTACATTTACAATGATAGAAATGCATATCAATAGTAACAAACAGTTTAACT